TGCGACCAGCGGAGCGATGCGACGGATGCCTAGAACGACGCGTATTTGGGTTACCACGCGCGGTTCCGCCGGTTGCGTGTTATCGCGGCTTAAACTGTACGCCGGGACGCAGAGATTCGTGTAATTAACTGTTCGCCTTGCTACGTCGATTCACGGTCGAAGCGAAGATTTCGAACCGAATCGAATACGCGCCATACTTACGGGATACCGTTAATTCGCTTCGAATCGCGATCGAACGGTTTTCTTTCTCTTCCATCGTACGCCTCTAGTCGCTCGCGATCGTAGGAACCCACGGCTGGCTCCGGCCCGCGACCCATATTCCACCCGCACGAGTTCCGTTGGCTTTTCACGCTGCGCGACGCTCCCGATCTCGGCGCGACGATAACGAGACGGATGTTCCGTTACCGCCGCCACGCTCTAATCCAGTTTCCTGTGCACGCGCAACGAGACCGGATAACAGTCCAGCGACCGTGCGCTCGCGGCACGCGAGAGACGACCGTTCGAACCTCTCCGCCTCGGTGGATCTTCTCATGAATCCGCGGTACGCGCATCGATCGAAGGGAGAGAAAGGGTGGCGCGTCGATTTCGAGGCCGGAGACACCGCGGAAACAAGGGGAACGCAGTCGCGACTCCATCTTCGTCGGGTTTTAAATGATCCCGGCGCAGACGAGAGGCAACGAGCGTCGCTCGGCGCGACGACTTTGTCTCTCGTCGCGGCCCCCGCGGAATTACCCCGTCGCCGCGGCGTGTCGCGCGGAGTCCTGTCATTCAGCCGGCTCGTCGGCGCATTGTGCCAGCCGGTCGACGCTGGAGCACCCCAGAAACGAGCGAACCCTCGTCGGAGGGCAGCATAGTGCAGACGCGTAGCAAAGGGCAACCTAGCCTCCGAACCCGGCGCTCTCACCCCACGTGTTTCTTCTTTCTCCCCGTTCCCTCCTTTTTCTTCCTTTTCATCCGGCGAGTCACCGTGTTCGCGCTCCTAAAAGGACGACACCGGTACTCCTCGCCCTCCGCCCTCCTGCAAACAGCACACGTCCCCCCCGCCCCTCGCCCGACGGGAGCACTCTGTCGCACCCTCGTGAAAGAAGTCTGCCCGCGTATCCACCAAGAAAGCTGGAGAATCGGGCGATCGGCAGACGGCGAGAGGGGTTGAAATAGAGAGGAGTGCAAGGGAGGGAGACTCTAGCGCAGAGTCTGAAGTGGGGGATGACTCGATTGGAAGGGGAAGCTGGCAACGTGTAGAGAACGGCAGAGAGGGAGAGCGGTGGGTGGGGGTAGACACGAAACGGAGCCTCGGTGCGATCGGGCGAAAGCGGTGAGCAACAGTGTGCCGCGCGTCGCCGACAAGCGAGCGTTGTCAGTTTGGTTTCCGGGAGCGCAGGAACCGCGTGTCGCCGATCCCGAGAGAAACGAACACGTTCTTCTCGTCGCGTGTGCGTCCACCGATTGTTTCCTTACGCGAGTCGATCGGGCCGACGGTTCGTCGGGAAGCTACGCGAGTTCGGTGCACAGGTGCCCGCGAGACGCAAAGGAGATACCAAGTACGAGACATCCGAATTCGGAGTGGTCGAGTCGTTCCTCGGGAATCAGTGCAGGTTTCGCGAGGTGCAATCCGTGCAAAGTGATCGACAGTGCGATCGCCAGTGTCACGAGCAGCTTCTACCCCCTGGATTACCGTGCTCGTTGAACGGCGTATGGATCGCGCGATCCGTTCGACCGATCTGCAGCGGAGATCCTCGAGCGCCCCACCGCTCGACGGACAGCCGTCAGGGTTCCTCCGTCGAGGAACGATCGCGCGGCAGAGGTGGTCGATCGGCGGTCGGAGGAATCGACGCTGATCGACGGGTGATCTAGGCAAAAGTGATCGCGACCGTCAGAACACACGCACCGCGTCTCGGTGAATCGAAAGGGAGATAGGAAGAAGCGAGAGGAAGGGGCTGGCGAGACGGAAGTGATCGACAGTTTACGGAAGATCGATCCGCGCAGGAATCATTGTTCTCGCGGCGCGATCGAGCGAGTGGTGTGCGTCGGAACCCGGAGCAAAGGCGACCGAGTTCGCAAAGGAAATGTGCTGCTAGCAAACCGGCAAGGTGTCGCCCGAATTCTTGAGGTACGCATAATCACCAGGTTGCGAGTAATGGTCTCTCCTCGGGATTTCCGGGCGGACGCAAGCGGGTACGCGCGCTGCGACGATTACGATCCGAGCAGCAGACGGCGCGATAATTGTGCCGGGAAATGGACCGTGTCACGGAGGGTGAAAGCTCGTCTCGTCGGGAAACGCACGGTTTTCGGAGCGTGGAAATTACCCGCGGACCGTCGAGCGCTTTTCAGCGACACGTGGGGACCCGGCCCGATACATATCTCTCCCTCTCCTTTCGGTTTCAACGCGACCGCGCCGTTCCGCGAGATTTTTTCCCCCGGAAAGCGGATTATCCAGGATACGATCCTGGAAACCGGCTGTTCCGCCGGATATGATTCCCATCGTAAAAGTGGAAAGTGACCCCCGCCGTCGTATCGATTTCGGATTTGCGATTCGCGGGCCGCGCCGTCGGGTCCGACTGGCTCCGGAAAATCTGTCCGCCCGGGACGCGAGATTCGTTCGCGACCCGCGCCCGTCGAATTTCCATCCTATGTTCGCTCGTTCTGTCGGCGGATCTCGCGGACGGATTTCCGTTCGTCGGGGAAATCTGTATCGGGAGCGAGAAGGAACGCGGCGACCTCGCGGAGTGGTTCGCGTCGACGGATCTCGTCGAACCTGTCGCGATTCAAAAGTCTTTTCGGTTTCCGCAGCGTCGCCGGATTCACGGGTGCGCAGATATATATATATATATATTTTCTCGCGGTTAACGTAATGCGATAGCCCAGCCGCGTCCGGATCCAATTCACCGGCGGACCGAGCAGCGAGAAAACGAGACCGGGGCGAAACAGACGAGACGGGAAAGAAATTCCGCCGGTGTGCGTCGGGCTGCCGGAGAAATGTGGAACTTAACGCGGCGAGCAAACAAATAAAGCATCTCCGACGGGAATTGAAAAGAGAGTCGACGGGAGCTCTCCTCTTCTTTTCTCTTCTTTTCTCTCCGTTCCCCGGGCCTCTCTCCTCTTCGCCGCTCCTCTCCGGCTGTTCCAAGGTACGCGCGACGAGGATCGATACTTCGCGACTCGCAGCCGCGAAGCGTCGCGCGAGATTAACGCGCCGGAATATATGCACCGTTGCACGCCGGTTCGCCTTTTCTTCTTTTTCCCCCGGCGAGTTATCGGCGTCGCTCTCCACGGGTTCCGCCGAGCGTCGGCTCGACGACTCGCGCGGTTCGTTCACCTGTTGGTGAATTTCCATCGAGTCGCGGGGGTGTTTACTCTCGATTGGCCGGCGTAATGGAGAATTTTCATCGCGGTAATTAAGCGGATCCGCGGCCGCGCCGGAAACGCGGGGTGCCGGCGTTCCATTTGCGAAATTACGGGCCGAGAGCGAACAGTTGCGCGCCGGCGGTATTCTTCGGGGTCGGCGCGCGCTGAGTTTCGTCGCGTTTCGTCGCCGGCTGCGCCCGATACGCGGCCGCCGCGCTTTCGAGGAACCTCTCGGCGGATTGATTTGAAGAGGTTACCGCGAGCGTGGCAGCGGGGGATGAAATTAGAAATAATCTCGAGGCTGGCGCGCACTCGCCAGGATCCGATGGCGAGTCGAGCGAGGCGAGTCGAGCGAGGCGAGTCGAGCGAGGCGAGAGCACGTCTGCCGCTGACAGTTATTAGGAACTTATGGGCGGAGAGTTCACGGTGAAAATTCGTGCTAGACCCCGGTACGTCGGAGTAGTTCGTTTTCTGCCCTGGACGCGGCACCGTTTATTTTCACGGCGCGCACACTGGAGCGTGCCGGTCTCCGCTCGGGAAATATCAGGACTGTTTATCCTTTTTTCCCGTAGACGCGTCAAAGTAGCAATACCGTGCTTTTTTCCTCTTTCGCTCTCTCTTCCTCGATACCGCCACTCCGCGAGCGGCGAATGGAAAAAAAATAGGAAAAACAGCAAAAAATATTGTACAGCGATTGATACTCGATACTGGAACAATTTTGTCGTGCAAAGGTGGTACCGATCAAATATAAAGTTCGGCAGGTGAAAAAAGCGCGCTGGACTACGGCTATTGTAGTTGAAACGAATCGGTCCGCAGGTCGAATTTCGAGAACCGTCCGGCGAAGTGACAGGATCGAAAATTGACCGATCGGCAGAGCGGATACATACCTGCTTTCGTACGAATGACGAATTTCCCGGTCCCACCCGCCTCGGAAAGGGAACAATTTTTCCCCGTGGAGGGTTGACGAAGATCGCGCGGAATGAAATATTCACGGTTGCGATATTCCCCTGGAAAAGTTGTTTCGAAGGATCCTGCTCCGCGGGTCGCCTCGGTTGCGCCCTTGGCAGTGAATAGTCCCCGGAAACGGCGACAGATGGAGGCACGACGCGGACCACGATGCTCCGCGCGGATCGACTGTCCGCGTCGTTTTCACTGTCCGACCGGCGACGCGAATTTCGTTTACGTGCCGTGAAATATTTATAGCGATCGCCGGCCGAAGATTAGACTCCCAACGACGAACCCCGGTCCGTTTCGATAACGTTAATCGCAGCCTTTTCGGTTCCGTGCGCCGATCGCGATGTCCTAACAGGACAATGACAGCCCGGAAACATGAAATCCAGCCCGTTATCTTCGCAACGTTACGATCGCTGTAGGGTGCGCGCGTTTCAATCCCTTCGGAATTGGCCGCGGTCCGCGAGAAGTCTCGTTCCGAATGGGAATAAAGGCGCGCCGTTTAAAAGAGGAAAGGGTGGGACGCTAATCACGGAAAGTTGACGACCGATAAACCAGAGGTTCGAGCTACTAAACACGCGGACAGGCTCACGTCGGCTCGTAAACTTGTGTCGGGAAACGATATCGGCGGGCTGCGCGGGTGCGCGGCTCGCGTCCCGAGCGCAACATCCAGCGACTAAAACCCGACACCTGCCCACCCTCTCTCCCGCCGCCGAATACCTGACTCTCGAAGTCGTTTCCGTGCTCGAGGGTCTCGGTTTAATAAAGCACCGGTGAGAAACGTGGAACACGTGCGTGCAAAAGTTCTCCCTACGGAATACGCGAGGGTGTAACGGCGCACCGAGGTGTACCGGGGGGTGGGATGGGGCGAAAGTAGAGGGAACGGAGGAAGGAAGAAAGTTACGAGGGTGGTTACGTGGCGCAGGGGTGGGCCGCGAGCAGTTTTAGGCGACCGGGTTTCGCCTTCCCTTTCGTCGCGATCCCTCCCGCGGAATGTTTCAGCCGGCAGTCGAAATTATTATATCGATAGGTCCGCGGGAAATCGAGATACGAGGGGCCGGACTCGCGGCGCAATATCGGTAACGGGGGCAGCGGGATTTAACGGGCGGAATTCGCCTCGCAAGTGGCCCGGTGTACCCGTATCCGCTCGTTTCCTTGGTAAACTCGGATATTGGAAAATGCAGTGAACTTATGTCAGAATGGGAACAGTTCTGGCCGTTACCGGGAATAGCCGGGAGCTTTTCAACCTGCCGGCGAAACCCCTAAATTCCTTCGCCGGGACGCGAAACGCCGGCGAATTAAACGATCTTCTCGCAAGACGACGACGACGAGGACGACGGGAGAAACACGCGAGATTCGAGAAATCGAGAAAACGAAACCCAGAGGGTGAGAATGACCCTCGTCAAATTGCACGCTCTTCGATGGAGAAATAGAGCCCAGCAAGTGGGAAAACGAGAGAGAGAGAGAGAGAGGGAGTGGAAAGGAGGGTGCGGAACTTTGTTTCTATGGCAAGCTGGGCGGGAGAGTTTTGCGACAGTTTCGAAAACCCAGCAGCCACCCCCTACCCTACACCACTGGCCCGATCGCGTTCAACTTTTGTCCGCCGCGGCGTCCGGCGATTGTCACACTCGTGACGAGAGTATCGATGTTGCCCGAGGGGGATGATCCTGCGAGATTGCCGGCTGCCATTCTAACCCCGATCGTTCCTCTGTCTCCTCCGCGTGTCTACAAACACTCTCTGTCGTTGTATCATTGGGGGATCGATGCCAACTCGTCACAGGACAAATATTTAGAGAGCTCTCGGTGCGCAGCGGCGACTGCGATTAATGCGTTTTATAAATTTGTCCTGGGACAAATCGCGGACGGTTCGGGAACGATCGGGAGCTGACCGTAGCTCCCTTTAACGTGGCGCGGCTCTCTGGAGACCGAGGGAAAAGTAATCGAAAAATTATCGACGATAGCGATACATATCTTACGCGTACAGTTCTCAACGGTGCGTCTATCGTATCGGTGGAAATGATCGGTCTTAGTGCTCTCACTTTGTAATTATCGATATCTTAGAAGTTTTCGGTATTCGAAATGAGTTCCAAGATGAATTAGCTTGAATATTAACGAATATATCAGAGGAAATCGATAACAAACCGTTACGATCGTTAGAACAGCTACGTATCAATCCCAACGAATGCTCGGTAGTTCCAGTGTTAGAGATACAACGAAGGAGAATAAAAGAGGTCATGTTTATTCTTGTACGCCATCATGCTGGATAAAGAGAATAACGTTAGGCGCGACAATAAACGAACAATAAAACCTTGTTGCCTCGCGAGAGGAAATTGAAAGTTCGTTGCTCGAGGTCTCCGAGTGATTCACGGCTTTCGGTGAAAACATAACCAAGTCGGGTCGTTCGGTAATAAGCATTGAAATCGATCGACGTCGTATCGCGATCCTCGGCTCGACGATCCGCCCGAGCATTCGGTAAATCCACGGAATGTATACCGAAGCCCCGTGTAACTTCGGCGACGGACGGACGGCTACGAAACGGCAAGAATTAAAACACTGGTGAAACCTCGTCAGGCTGACAAGCATGGTTTGCGTTCGGTTTATTTACGACGCTTGTTCGCGAGTTCTCTCTACCGATCGTTACACGGGAAAATTATAGCGCGTGGGCGGCCCGCGTATTTTCCGATGCTCGCAGATTTACGGATCGTTAAGCCCTACGAATTTACACGGTTCTTCTTAGCGACCGCTATTTGCGGCCGACCGGAGCCGGGCTTTATTATTCGTCGCGCGCCTACGCTGCCGCGGAGCACCGCTTCG